AATCTGCTGACTCGTCCTGTAATCTGCTGACTCGTCCTGTAATCTGCTGACTCGTCCTGTAATCTGCTGACTCGTCTTGCTGCAGGTCACGAGGGTGGTGCTAACCAAAGGCTGGCGCTGTCTGGAGTGCACGGTGTGCGAGGCGTGTGGCGATGCCAGCGACCCCGGCCGCCTGTTGCTGTGTGACGACTGTGACATCAGCTACCACACCTACTGTTTGGACCCGCCCCTCCTCACCGTGCCCAAAGGAGCCTGGAAGTGCCAGTGGTGGGTGGAGCTGTTCTTCAGACGCTCACCTGTCAGAGAGCGTCGTTCCTGATGGCGTACTGTCTCTCTMCAGGTGTGTGTGGTGCGTTCAGTGTGGCTCCGCCTCCCCCGGTCTGCGCAGTGATTGGCAGAATAACTACAGCCTGTGCGGGCCGTGCTGCAGCCTGAGCCAGTGTCCTGTGTGTCTGCGGCGCTACGCTCAGGACGAGCTCATCCTGCAGTGTCAGCAGTGCAGCAGGTAACGCTCAGCTCACACACTGGTCGGGCTGGGCGCTTCGGTCAGGTGCTCATCGTGTCTGTCTGCAGGTGGGTCCATGCAGTGTGTCAGGGTCTGACCTCAGAGGAGGAGGTGGAGCTTGCTGCTGATGAAGGCTTTGACTGCTCTCTGTGTCGGACACCTGGCCACGCCTCCTACGGTACTCACTGCTTCTTTTGTAAAACTACAGGCTTTTATTGTGAAGTGCAGGCTTTTCAATTCAATTCAATTCAATTCAAATTCAAAAAAACTTTATTGATCCCAGAGGTAAATGAGGTGTTGTTGTAACTCATTGAACTAAAAACTTATTGTAGATGCTGATGGCTGTGGGCAGGAAGGATCTTCTGTAGGTCTGTGTTACAGTGAAGGTGAAGAAGTCTCCGACTGAAGACACTTTGTYTTTCTAKGACAGTCTGATGAAGAGGATGCTTTTATTGTGAAGTGCAGGCTTTTACTGTAAAGTACAGACTTTGATGGTACGTTCACACCGAATGMGTTTTGAGTGGAAGGAGCAGCCGATTCACATGCAAAGTCTATGGTGGAGGCGCCTCTAGGGGTCGTGCGTCGCATCACGTACATTTTGGGCGGTGCGCAAGGAAGGTGGAAGGAGCGCAGAGCGTTTTCCTCACATGCGGTGCTGCGTAAGCCGCCGCCCGAGCCGCCGCCAGAGTTCAAATATTTGAACCTTTCGCCGCTCGACGCGTCTCCCACTGAAAACTGAAACAGACGGACTGGAGATCTTTACCTGAAATCGACCGCGTGCAGTTGAATTATCTGGCAGGATATATCAGCACCGATG